TCCAATCAGTATAATCAAACACAGCTGGACTCAAATGAAGGTGTAGAACCATCTCAGGGATGATCAGAAGAAATGGACAGCACCTAAGGTGCTTCTACTAAATACTGAGCAAAGGGTCTGAATACTTATGACCATGTGATATTTCAGTTTTTCTTTTTTAATAAATCTGCAAAAGTGTCAAAAATTCTGTGTTTTTCTGTCAATATGGGGTGCTGTGTGTACATTGAGGAAAAAAAAATGAACTTAAATGATTTTAGCATATGGCTGCAATATAACAAAGAGTGAAAAATTTAAGGGGGTCTGAATACTTTCCGTACCCAGTGTATTTAAAGGCAGTGGTTACGACACACCAAAGAAGAACAAGCAAACATCTGAAGTTGAACCATACAAAATTAAAAAAACACTTCAGGTACTCTTAGCTGAAGCAAGGAGTATATTAAATTGCCTTTATTTAATTGGGTATCTCAGTCAAAAATGCTGACTGGTTTTGATCTCATCAGGGCAGAAACATATCTGAAAGGCTCTTTCAAATTGATGAGCACTTCCTTTGGAAAGAAACAATGCAAAAATGTTGCCAACCAGTGATACTGGTAACAGTGATGCTGACACACCATCATGATATGCTGACACACGGCTGGTGTGTCAGCATATCATGCTCAGCATGGCGGCTGCTTTTTTTCTCACCTCAGTTAATGTACAAACAGAAGGTACACTGTCACCTTAAGTCTCTGTACTATTATTAGACACTAACAAGATGCCCAATTCTTTCTGTTGCAGTCTCTCTAAAATAACATCAAACAGCATCAATTAATCCTCCACCATGTCAGATAACAGGTTCTCCTTATGAAAAACACGAGGAACCCCAAGGGTGTCAGTCTATTTAAAGGTTGTAGGTTATTACAACAAAAGTTCCGCTCTCTTCCAAAGTGGGAACACAATTACATCCTGATTGGCCATTTAGCAATCACACTCCACATCAATAATTAGGCGATGCAGGCATGAATTAATCACACGTTTGGGGGGGGAGGAAAAAAAAAGGCAGCTGTGCAGTCGAACACTGGCATACAGTATGTCTGCATCCTCACCAAAAACACATCACATCATCAGTGTGATAATCAAAGTGAATTTGGAGGAAATGAGAAAGAGAGAAGTGCACATATCAAATGACTACTTAGCAGTCATTAATTAAGTATGAGAGAGCCTCTTTTTTTGTCAGCTAAGAGGAGAGGTGCCACTGTGACTCAATGAGCGCTTGTCAGGAAGGTTCTATTAAGACCATGCTATGGTGTAGTCTGCGAATGTGAGGGGGGGAAAAATACACCTAACAACTCAGAGCAAAATATATTACGTTTCAATGTTTTCTTTACTAATAAAGTATTTTAAAAGGACAAGTAGATAAAAAAAAGGCTGAAATTTTGTGATTCCATAACCTAATAATTTGCCCATTTACTGTAAAATACCATGCAAATTTAAACAGATGTAATATAAAAAAATTTCTGCATTACAGTGTTACGCCAAAAAACAAATATAAAAGCTCGTTCAAGTTCTCAAATTTGAAATAACCATAAATGTGACAATTATAGGTTTTCTTTTCACTTTCAATAAAGACTCGGGAATATCTATCCAAGCCTCTAATGTTTAGAGATACTTACATTCTCCTGTGTCAAATCGTTGATATTTGTAGATATTGCTTGGAGCCAGTCTGTGCTTTCTGTCGCGGTGCAAAATTGAAGAATATTGGTGCTGGCTCCATCCAAGGTGAGGACTTCGAAACAGTTGGACCTGGAGGAATGTAGAGATCAAAATTAGACAGGAGTGCAGAAGACTGAAGACTATATTTAAAAAGGTTAAAAAAAAAAACAAAACACTGAAATGAGCTCTATGCATAGTCCTCAGACGGGCTAAGAAATGTCAAAATAATACACTTTGTATTCCTGATTGAGAAAAGAATTTAGAAGAAGAAATTAGGTCTTTATTTTTGATAGTTAATTTGTACATCTTCTGGGTACCTTTTTTGGATTTTGTTATCCCTTGGAGTGCCTGGAGGTTAAGTGAATTGCTTTACTAACAATTTAATTTTTCTTGGACATTGATGGGGTCATCTCAAAAAGATCACACTCATCTGCAAAGCATGATACTTTCTGACACCTAATTTCACTGCATTTGAACACTGCCAATACTTCTGGCCTCTAAGATAGTTGTCACTAAACATGGAAGCAGTTTTATGCAATGGTTACAGTAAGTAATCCCATTCATCAGAGTGGAGAACCTGCAGCACTAGGGAACAATTCTAAAAGCTTCACAAACAGAAGTGGGGAGATGTTGTGGAGGGACAATATGTGGGGTAAAGCTGGATAAAGAGAAGAACAACAGAAGGTGCTGTTAGATATTAGTAAATCAATTAGATAATTGTTAGACAATGTGTTAGTAATGCAGTTTAGTAAGATTTAAAGTCTGCTCTGTTTCAAGGTTAGCAGACAATGTTGATTCTGAAAAGTGAACTATAGGTACTATTGACACCAATTCTTTTCCTGTATTAAGCTTATATTAGAATATTATGTCTAAATAAATGAATGAATGCCTTAGCTACACACCATGTGACAAAATAAACACATTGAAATTCTTCATTTTGTTATGACTAGGTAAAAATGCAGCTGCTCAAAGCATGTGGAGCACTAGATAAGAGATGGAGTCTTCGGATTGACTTCATCTGGATAAAGGGTTAGCCCAAACCTTATAAATGTATTAGGGTCTGTGTGGCAAGAGACTCCACTTCCCAGCAGCCTGCGTGTGTCTGGAAAAGGGAGCAGCCCGGGTCGTGTTTGTAATTTTGCTTGTGGTTAAAATAAATCAGCACTAGATGAAGACGGACTCCTTCGTTATTCAGAGCTGTCCAATTAAAGAACTGGGGTACTACAGTGCTAAATACACAGTATGAAGAAGGAACCCTTGTAAAACAGCCCCTTAATCAAACACTTCTCTCACACTCAGCTGTTCTTTGAGGTTGGTTGTTACACCGTCAGCATTCCTCTGGTGAGCATGGCTTTTGTACTACCTGCAGTACTGTACAACTGTTCAAAGCCTGCTGCCTGTGAAGCGACCCAGTAGCTCCTCAGGGGCAATGTTCACTGGACGCGAGGGCAATATTTTTTATTTAAAAAGGTGCCAAGTCTTTTAGCGCATGTCCTCAACACAGACGAGCTTTACTCTGAGATTTGTATGACTATTAAACATCACTAATGAATGTTAAGAATCTTTGAAATACTTCATCTTGCAAACAAACATTTCTACACTGCAGAGATAAAATGAGCAACTGAGCAAATGACGGACAGAACCTAAAGTTCAGTTAGATCTCTTTCAATTAACTTCCAGCACCGGCAGCGATGGTAGCCGTGGTCACTTGCGCTTGTTGTTTTTCTTTGTTTTCTTGGTCTCTTGCAACTCATCCCGGATTACTTTTACCAGAGAAGACCTGTTAAATATCGGACATTTCACCCCGAACTACCTTCCTCTGATTTTTGTGAACGGAGAATGCTGTATGAACATTCTGATCGGAGGTGCAGAGGCAATATATGGGATCTGGAAAAAACGCCACCGTGGAAAGCGGGCAGGTGCCTTGGTGCGGTTATGACAGAGGGGAACACGGACCCCACTCATCCATCCACCTGGCAAATCTCCGCTCCCTGGTCAACAAGATGGATGAAATTCTTCTCCACAGGACTAACTCTGACTTTGCGCTTCACGGAGACCTGGCTGAGCAACTCAGCGCGATTCAAGTACCGGGCTTCCAGGTGTTCAGAGCGGATTGTGTAAAGGAGCTGTCTGGGAAAACGAGAGAGGTGGAATCTGCTTCTACATAAATAAAGGTTGGTGCACAAATGTCAGTGCTACAGAGGACATGTAACGCAGACCTAGAGTCTCTTATCAATTGCAAACCTTTTTATTCTTGTGGATTTAACAGTTTCATTCTAATCGCAGTGTACATAAAACCACAGGCCCATGCTAGCGCACTACAGCTCCTGGCAGAACAGATAACTAGCGTGGAGTTAGAACATCCTGACTCTCCATTCATTGTTTTAGGGGACTTTAACAGAGCAAATCTCACCGACGAACTGCCCAAACACAGACAGCATGTCACTCTTGTGGCAAAATTATCTATTAAAGCTCAGTGAGTGTAAAATAAAGACTTAACATCAACTCTGAAAGTTATTACATATTTATTCCTGCAAGAGCAATCTAGAAACAGAGTGGCTAAACAGTCTGAATGAAAGAAGCTCAATAAACAAAGTGTGACTTCTCTTTTTATACACACACACACACATGCACACACACACACACACACACACAACATTGCAGGGAACAAAGGCTCAAACAGATGGGGAAACAAGATACCAGTTCTAACAGGATACAAGCCATCTGGTTCTGCAGTCACACAAAGGCATGAAAATCTTTACGAACATGCTGACACAAACGGTCTGGTGTCACAATCACACAAATACCTGCGTACCATGACTACAAAGCCACAGCCAATAAACTTAAAAGGGTGCTACCTTAAAATGTCCACTACAGTCACCTGTCCCACCAGGGACAAAATCACACTGGACCACTGCTACACAACAATAAAAGACGCCTATCACTCTGTCCCCCGTGCAGCCCTCAGACTCTCAGATCACTGTATGGTCCATCTTATTCCTTATGCGAAGCCTGTAGTCAAAACAGTGAAGAGCTGGACTGAGGAGGCTAAGTCAGAGCTACAGGCCTGCTTTGACTGCACAGACTGGAGTGTATTTGAGACTGCAGCTACAGACCTGGATGAACTCGAACTGGACTGAGGACGCTAAGTCAGAGCTACAGGGCTGCTTTGACTGCACAGGCTGGATTTGAGACTGCAGCTACAGACCTGGACGAACTCACAGACACATCTTGTATCAGCTTTTGTGAGGATGTGGGTGTTAGATATTTTTAGTCAGATAGATATTGGATAGATACTTTTTGGC